TCATTGTTGTTTGGCGGGTCCGGGCTGGGGATTCGAACCCGCCACCTTAAGTGTACATGGCTGGCGCCTTAGCCGGTTGAGCTATAGGCGCCGAGCCTAGAGGTAATTTTTTAAAAAAACAATTAACACTCTCTACACCTTTAGCCCAGGCAGAACATTCTCTGTTTCCATCTACCTCAAAAAACCCAAAAAACCCAAAAAAATCCACAAACTTGTAAATATTTATAATTAACAAATGCTAAGCAAAAATATGAACCAATATCAGATGACTGATTGTAAGTATGGAATGGGAGGAAGTCATAATTCAGGAATTTTGATTAGAAATTTAGAGTTCCAGGTGGCACCTATGACTCAGTGGGTAGGGCACCGGCCCCATATACTGAGGGTGGCGGGTTTGAACCCGTCCCCAGCCAAACTGCAACAAAAAATAGCCAGGCATTTTGGTGGGCACCTGCAGTCCCAGCTACTTGGGAGACTAAGGCAAGAGAATCACCTAAGCCCATGAGGTGGAGTTTGCTGTGAGCTGTGATGCCACATCACTAAACCAAGGGCGGCAAAGTGAGACTCTCTCTCTAAAAAAAAAAAAGAAAGAAAAGAAATTTAGAGTTCCACAGACAAGTTTGAAGAGGATTATTGAATCATTTGTCTCTGACAGTTTAACATGCCAAATGTCAAAATGGTCAGTAGCTCGGTAGCTTTCTGATAATAAAATATACCCCTTTATGTACCATTGCAAACCCTTTATGAGAGAAGGCAGTGTGGAAAAACCTAAATTATACACTCATATATATACAACTGTGATAGTTTTTATTTGAATACACTATAAAATATTCAAAATGTTTTTTTTTTAAACCTTTTACTTCACCGGATCTCCGTAACAATTCTCTAAAGGTTATTCTCATTTCACACAGGGAAAAGGAGATTCAAAGAGAAAAAGTGACATGTTGAATGCAGCATGAAATACAAGCATAGAGCCACTATATTCTGAACTTAACAGAACGGGGTCCAAGTCCTGGCCTTGCTACTATGTTATGACCTTGGAAAAACTGCCTAACCTCTATAATTCCCTTAGAAAATGGGCAAGGTGATGAGGGAGACTGTTACAAGCATTAAAAGAATGTATAGTATTTAAAATACATGGAACATAGCTAGTCAATATCAATACAGGGGCAGAACAGGAGTTGAAATCCAAGTCTGCTGACCATGATACCTCCTGCCTCTTTATGGTACGTATACTATGAATTCCAGGCAACAGAGCTGGAACATTTGATCAAATAACCAAATGATTAGTAAGTGCTAAGAACTTCTGTATAGATGTTTTTACAAGAATATGTGTATATTACTGAAGAGTATTTCATAGACAACTGATGGTAATACCTTTATCAAACTGTATGGATCTCACACTTCCAAATATCTCAAACCTTTATACTGCATAACTATTTTATTTTTTCTCAAGACATTACTGCAAATTTGAACGTTTGAGAGCATGGGCTATCTAAATCTTTGCTTTGATAACAGCACATTTTTGGCACTCCAATATTAAATAACAATCAGTATTCCATTTTGGGTCTCTGAAAACCAGATAAGCATATAGACTATAAAATGATTAGATTAAGAGAAACCATTTACACCTGAGGTTTGCTAGTTTTAGGAAGTCAAATAAAACAAACTAAATAAAACTACAGCTAAGCTAGAAACCGTTTTTAAGTAAGGCTTCTGATATGATAACAGAACATATTGAGGATATAGAGAAGTAAAAATCTATATGGCCTGCTGAATTTTCTAAACTTGCCTAGACAGACTCACAAAAACAGAGGAGAGATGCTGCTTTCATATACTTTTATACTTTGCACTTGTATGAACACAAGTCTGCCATCTGGCAATGTCTGCGCTTTAACAGGAGGTGGAAGAGAAGGCCCAGAGACAGAAACATAAACTCTCCATGATAGGATTTCAGCTGTGACAAGTATGCCCAAGACTTCCAACATTCTGTTCTAGATCTGTTTGCTTTTCTTAAATTCCTTGATCTGTCTTTAGTCTACATTTATCTTGGTTTTTATTTCTGTGATACATTTGTTTCATCAGTTTGGATGTTAACATATTTCAGTATTCTCTATGGACTATCCACAAATAGTAACAAGTTGCATTCCAAGGGCACTTTTCTTTATTAAGAGACTTTGTTTCCAAAAGACACAAAGATATTGTATTGGGGGGTGTTAAAGTGGTCACACTGAAAAAAAATATATATATAAAAAAAAATAAAGTGAGGTAAGGAAATAAGCTAGCAAAAAGTCAAATGACCTTACCACTTGGTTCTCACTTTGAGATCCTACTAACTGCTGCATCATTTGAGACATACCACTGAATCACTGGGGTGAAAATGCTGTTTGGTTTTCCCACTTTAAGCCTCCCTTTTATAAAACAGGGAGGGATAAAATATTATCCCCCCTCTTCTTTTTTGGAGACAGAGTCTCATTATGTCACCCTTGGTAGAGGGCTGTGATGTCACAGCTCACAGCAACCTCCAACTCTTGGGCTTAAGTGATTTTCTTGCCTCAGCCTCTCAAGTAGCTAGGACTACAAGCTCCCACCATGACACTGGCTATTTTTTTGTCGTTATTGTCATTGTTGTTTAGCAGGCCCAGGCTGGGTTCGAACCCACTGGCCCTGGTGTATATGGCCAGCACCCTAACCACTGAACTATGGGCGCTGAGCCTATTACCCCTCTTAAAGCAGTATAAAACACAGCTGTTCTATTCAAGTATGACACGGTGCTTTTATTTCCTCTATCCTTGAGTGTAGAGATCATTTATTATAAAACCGGCCTGAAAAGAGGGCTGACATTTTTGTTACTTGAAAATATGTTGGCTCGGCGCCTGTGGCTCAAGCGGCTAAGGTGCCAGCCACATACACCTAAGGTGGCGGGTTCGAATCCCCAGCCCGGGCCCGCCAAACAACAATGATGGCTGCAACCATAAAATGGCCAGGCGCTGTGGTGGGCGCCTGTAGTCCCAGCTACTTGGGAGGCTGAGGCAGGAGACTCGCTTGAGCCCAGGAGTTGGAGGTTGCTGTGAGCGTGATGCCATGGCACTCTACCCAGGGGGATAGCTTGAGGCTCCGTCTCAAAAAAAAAAAAAAAAAAAAGAAAATATGTTGTGACTTTCTCTTCCTTCTCTAAATACAGTGTGCAGAAAAAGGTGTTGCTAAGGGGGGAATTGATATTTGGTCAGTCTTCTCAAAGGCATTTTAATCACCATGAGCAAACAAAAGTAGCCTTTTGGCTGGAAGATTAAGGACAGTCATTTGGCCCCATGAAGTGAATGTCAGAAATGCCATACAACACTTCTGTACATCCTACTCTGTACCACACAGGACAAAGCAAAGCCCCTCAAAAGCTATTTTTATAGAGGGAGTGGGAACTGGGCTTATGCAGAAATATTTGCAAAGCAATATTTAAACAAAATCCTTTGGTTATAAAAAGCATGATATATAAATGACATCTCTTCCCATGTTATTCCATAGTTGCTTGTGTGACTACATACCTGATTCCGGATTTACCAAGAAACTCCCATATACCCTCTTTAGTAACTAGAAAAAAACAAACAAACGTTAGTCAAAAGGCTACAATAACATTATTATTTTTCAAGAACTATACTTGCTAAGCTCTTTCTAAGCCAGCACGCTTTCATCTGGTGGATGGGAAACTAGAGACAAAGGAAGCAGATTTATCTACATCAGTGGTTCTCAACCTTCCTAATGCTGTGACCCTTTAATATAGTTCCTCACGTTGTGGTGACCCCCAACCATATGCAACCCTTTAATACAGTTCCTCATGTTGTTGTGACCCCAACCATAAAATTATGAAAATAATGGGTCACGGCATTAGGAAGGTTGAGAACCACTGATCTATATCACCAACTATGCCACCCATAGAACTTCAAATAGAATCCAAAAGGTTAACTGAGGCAATTCCTTTACCCTTTTAGGACCCCACACCCTTTATAAGGTCTCTGTTCTCCAGATTTTACATAGTATTTTATCATCTTTTGTTTTCAAGAGAGCAGAAGGATGCCAAATACAAGGGAGAGAATAGATTACATCAGTTATCAACTAAGCATAGGATAAGCCACTAATCCAGGTTGGAATGAGAAGATAAAAATGGGACTGCTGGGAACTGATTTCTGTTAGCCTGCTAATCTTGTATGCTTTAAAATTATTTATTGTGTAACCAGGTTTTAAGGCAAGGGACAATGGATAATGAAATCTTGCCCAGCTATTAATATTGGTGGGTCCACAGAAGGTTGTACATTGTACAACCAAACCAGTATTTACTGCTGGCTACTTTCTAGCTTTTTGAAATAAACAAACAAAAAGAGACCTTTTTATACCTCTTTAGACCTTTTTTGGAGGGCTTACATGTTCCCTCCAAAACTCATGTTGAAATTTAAGTGCCGGCTCGGCGCCTATAGCTCAACCGGCTAAGGCGCCAGCCACGTACACCTAAGGTGGCGGGTTCGAATCCCCAGCCCGGACCCGCCAAACAA